GATTGTCCTTCGAACAATCTTGCATGCCCTCCTGAGTGTAAGGTGGCCTCTCAGGCACTTTACAGTCAATCCCAGTCGAATTTTGGAGCGGGCTCAGCCCCTTCTCTTTTCGCTTACGGCCGGAGAACATGTCCGGGTCATCTACAGTTCTCCACTGTTGACCCATGGCAAGGAAGCGGTTAACCTGGTGTTCTTCACCCCTCTTAGTCAACGTATTAGCTAACTGAGCATCCGAATGAACCCACCTAACACTTAACCCATTCTTGTTTTGGGACTCTTTGATGGCCAGCAGCTCAATATCAATACGTTTTTGGGCTCCCTTGGGGGTGATATACGGCTTTTCAACCCTATCATAAACATTTCTGGAATCTGTAACCAAGACTCCGGGTACTCTCCGTACTTGGCCCTCGGAATCCCAGAGGTCTGCTTGATGCCCGCAGAATTCTGCCCACGCATACCTCAGCAAGAACAGGTTGTCCTCGGCATCAATGGCAGCTCGAGCCTCTGCGGCACCTGGAGAGCGGCACACCCGCTCTATCTTGCCGGACCTCCAGAACATGGGGCTCACGCTGGTGACGGCGCCCTCCTGAATCTCGGACGGTGTCAGGCCTATGACAATGCCTGCTGTTGAACTTCCATCTGGTCGGTTCTGGGAACTGGCATCTACCCAGGAAACCATGGAAAGCTTGGTTGTGTCCGAGAAGGCATGGATCCGAAGAGGCACTTTGCTGTCTATTCGGACTGCCTGCAACAGCTTATTAGCCTGTTCCAGGCTTTCCACTGTGCTGTGAGTCACCTCCGACAGTGACAGGCCCACATGAGCGCTGTACTTGAAACCCACTTGGCCCACGTGCCAGCTTAAAGCACCCAGAAGAGCTCTCAACTGTGACTTCTCCTGGTTGCTGGTGACTTCATGCTTCTGCCGGCGTCGCTCCCTGCTGATGGGAATCGCGGGGATGGCCTCAACGTAATGTCGTTGGTCCAGCTGGAAACCACCATCTGGCTGCCTCTGAACCCTCACCCCGCACTGAGTGAAGTTGTCCTTCTCCCACTCCTGCCATTCGAACTGCTTCTGGATCTGCTCCCTCAAGAGGTTCCATGTTGCACAGTCCTCTCGCCCTGTGAACAAAAAGTCATCGACATGACCACTGATCAAAGAAATGACTTTGGAACCCTCTGTATAGATCCGAGTACAGGGATCACTACGGAGCTGGTGGTAGCCGATGGATGATAGGAAACTGTTCACCGTCTCGAACCACTCGATCGGCGCCTCCACCAAGCCGTAACATGCCTTTTTTAGGCGGCACACTGATCCAGGGGCCAGTCCCATTCCCTCACACAGTTCTGGGACCGGCAGGCAGGTGAGGTTGCGCTGATATTCTCTCCCTTGAAGAAACGCCCGCTGACGTCTCCTTTCCAGCATGTCATTTTCTGCCAAGCGCAATACTGGAGTAGGAGTTGTCGGCTAGAACGCGTCATCGTTGGCGCGAAGGTCGGCCGATTGGCATACTCCGGGTCCTGGAACCCGAGTAATACGGCTCTCACCTTCGGTTTGAGGCCACCATCGTCCTGCTGTTTGTATGTTAGGATCCAGCGCATACGCAGAGCCTGAGAACGGTCAGGCTTCAGCTCTGGTGGCAAGACCTCCATCGCCTTGGCCGCGATGAACTTTTGGACCTCCACGGACTTCGCCCCCCGAAAGTTCTCACGTTCTTGTGGCGTCATCCGCCTTTCAGACACCTCCACAGTTTTCCTCTTGAGTGACTTGATGAAAAACTGCGAGGGATCACGGATGAACTGTTCGAACTTTTTCTTGGTGTCGGGCAATGCCAAGGACACCTCCACGGCATGTTCCTGTGACTGCCAAAAGGTGCTCTCCTTTTTTGGGCCACTGCTGGTCCTTGACTTCCGTGTGCCATGCTCCTTCCGTGGGAAGGGACTGCCTGTCGTCTTCCACTTCCACAAATCTGGCCTCCGGTGGCACGCCTCTCCGGACCGCTGGAGGCCCTGCAGCCTGACCCATGGGTCTCTTATAAGACACCCGCACTCGTGAGGTTGGAGGCAATACTCTCGCCGAGTCATCGGGGATGAGTTCTGGCTCTGAATCCTCCATATCCTCGGTGATGTCCGGGTCTTGATCGGGGTCTGGCGCCCCGTCCTTGGTGACGTCATCGTAGTCGTGTGGTCCCAGTTCCTCGGCCAGCTTGGTGGTGGTCCAAGGAAGATCCGGTGTTGTAGAGGTGAGCTCGTGAAGCACCGTCTCGCGCTCCGTGGCTGGTCGAAGCTGCTCTATGGAGGCTTTCACCAAACGAAGGCCGCGGATGAGCCATACTGATGACCCTGGCGTGACCTTCCCGTCCTTCTGCTTTGTCTCCATGGCCAGAATTCTCGCTGGTCCAGCATAGGCCCCATGTCTGAGTCCAGAGCCATTGCTTTGCCGGTTCTTTCCTTGGAGACGCCAGAAGTAGACGAGGTCACCTGGCATATACATGTTGTAATCTTTGGTCCTTGAATTTCTGGCTCGCGAGAGCTTCTCGCTGTACTGCCAGTCAATGAAGGACTTCTCGCTATGACGGCGGAGGCTCTCGGATCTTTGGAGCCCGCCTTCTGGGTGGTGAAGCAGGCTGCTGGCAACTTGTGAACGTCCGGGATAAACATCCTGTCCTCGAAGTCTGGGGCCTTTCCCAACATCCACTGGAAGGGGGAGTAGCCACGGACCGGCTCACGCTGATTCCAGGTCCGGACTGCCTGTGCCAGGATAGCCTCGTGTGAGTGCTGGGGATTCTCTCCCGCGCACTTGGTCATGAGCTCCTTGATCCATTGTATGGACCGTTCTACCACACTGATCTTCCAGTGGGCATCTGCCGGAATGTTATCGGTCTCGATCCCCAGCTGCTGGAAGTGCTGATCCAGTTCCTTGGAGCGGCAAGCCCCATCTGGGTCTGCCCTTATCAGCTCTGGCAGGCCAAAACACGGCTCCCACACTTCATGAAAAGCTGAGGTAATGTCATTGGCTGTTACATGGCCACCACCATCCTTGCGGAACAACTTGGCTACTGCAAATCGGCTTGCTTCATCCACAAAAACCATGAACTGACACTTGTTTCGGGAGTCTCCCGGACCAGGAGTCCAATGTGCAGCGTCCATTTGGACAATCTTACACTTCTCAGTACTTACCTCCAGGTTAGCAAGCCTACGGGGGAGAGGTCTCCTACGTTCTTCGCAGGTGCTACATTTGAAGTCCTTAGCAAGTTCCAGAACACGGGGGTCAGCTTTTCGGGCCTCAAGACTCTTGTACAACCCGAGGTCTCAAGGCTCATTCCTAGACACCCCGGACAAAGCAACTCCGGAGCGTCTTCCCTGAACCTGGAACACTGACAAGCACCCCAGTCAACCCCATGAAGCTCTTGGAAGCTACGTTGCTGCTTGGCTTTGTTGTGGTGTTCCGGGTCATGCACTCCATCTCTGAGCATGTGGTAAACGACTCTCTTAGCAAATTCAGGACTGTAACAGGCCGTCTTCGAGACGTCACTACCCTCAGCATGAGCGTGATGCCTGCTGCAATGTTCTCCGGGACATGGTAACTGCACTGCATGCGCAAACGAGGCTGAAGTACTTTCAATGCGCCACTCTTTTCCTAACAAGGCTTGTCCCGAATGGTCGCGAACATTCACCTGACAACAGCTTATCACGGAAGTATGAGTACCACAAACCTCCTGGAACTCCCTGAACAAACCCCACTTCCAGGCTCTACACCTACGAGCCCATTCCCAGTGCACCGTAACCCCGAGCGCATGAGCGAACCGAGCAACAATCAAAGCCCCCACATGTTGAACTCTCTGTTCCTTACGCTTCTGATTTTTGCTGTTCGTCGCGCTGATTCAGGTTTTGCATTGGAGAATAGGCTGTGCATTCGGTGGCGATCCACAGGTGTTCAGGGCGTTCAGACTGAACCAGCTGAAGCGACTTCCTAACCCCAGCAACCGTAGACAGATCAAACCCGTTCCAAACACTACATCGTTCAGCCCTTAAGCCCTGTTTCTGGACCTCCTTGGTCAACACAGACTCTTTGGAGCATGCCAGCTCCATGAGAAACAAGTGCTCAGGGTCCCGAAGAGCCTTATATTGGTTATACACAAAGTCCCTAGAACACCCGTCTAACAACCGACACTCAGAGGGGGTCAAACTACACCTAGAACCCAACTGGCTCTTCTCCCTGGCACTCTGGGGTCCCTCTAGGCCCCCGGAAGGGGAAAACTTCACTCCTGAGCGCACGAATCTCGGTCTGCATGGCCTTCATGGTCTTCAACAACTCTGCCGCGTCCTCCGTGGTCATGGCCGCGCTGCTGCCGCTGGCCGCTGAACTCCTCGGAGGTGATGTCGGGCCATTGGCCTGCTTCTTCTTGATGTACTCGGCCTGGTTGAGGTCGTTCTCGGGGATCTTGTACTGGTCGGGGTCGATCGCCAAGATGCTCTCCAGCTCGGTCCCGTGGCTGAGCTTTGTCTCGGTGGCACGGCCCTTCATGTCGGAATCGAACGGTGAGTCGAGGTGACCGTCCAACACTGCCCATGTCACCAGCTGAACCAGCTGCCATCCCGCGCTGGCGTTGCTGCTGGCTTCCTTCAAACCCCACTCGAGGTACTGCTTGTCCTCTTGAAGCACCTCCTGGAATGTCTTGCCCTGGTGCCTTTCAAAGGACACCACCGTCTCTGGAGTGCCGCTGCGGTAGAGCCAGCGACGAAGGTGGAGGCGAAGGTCTCCATGGCCGATATTGGCCGCATGGTTGATCTGGTGCTTCTGTGCAAAGACCTTGAGCTCGGCCAGTGTCCCCTTCTGGATCTGCTGCATGAGGTCGTTCGGGTTGGAGGGACCTCTCATGTAGCCGTGGGACACCCTGTTGCGCTCCACCAGGGCTCGCAACTCCACCGCTGTGAGACTGTCTGGCGCGTCCACCCCGAACGAGAGGAGGTCCTGCGCACACTCGGGCTTGGTGCACGCACTGGGTGCTTTGATCGCCATGGTCAGCTGCGGATTCAACGGACCTCGGGATTGGCTCATGTTGGACGCCTTCGTCGAAGGAGGAGGCAGAGGTATTAGCTACGGGCCTACAGGTTTGAGGGCTAGAAACAACGGAAGAGGAAACAACCTTACCCTGTTGAGTGACATGTTGGTTCGCAGAATTCCTCATGCCGTTGGCTGCCGCTTGCAAGAAAACTTCACTGGGATTGCCTGTTTCACTTCGCTGGGCCTCACACTCAGGTACAGGCAGCCCTGAGCTGAGTCTGCCATCCTACTCAATGGGGACGCCGAGGCACCTCACTGGCGCCTGCAGTTGCTGCGCTCCCACCATGAAATCAAAACTTGATGACCAGTAACGGTCGTCTGTAACTTGACACGCTTACACGGGTCTATGGCCCCAAAGATCACCTCATCCCTAGAGTAATCAACTATGGCCTGCAACCGCTTTAACGTGTCAATACTTAAAAGTACGGGAACACTACCTTTGTCTAACGCGTGAACTCGCAACTTAAGATTGCGATCTGCAATCGGAAGCCGCAAAAGCACAGTTGACTGGCATGTTGCTGACTCAGAGTCCGCGAACCCGAACGTGGGGCGATCCTCAAGGTTCACCTCCGCCACGTTGTCCTGGGACTGGTGTTCAAAGCTGGCCTCTCTCGCCTGCTCCAAGGCCACCATGGATCCCATAGTGCGGGTCGCGCCACCATCCAGCACGCCGTAGCCCTTGAGCATGGCCTTATGGGTGGTCATGCGGCCCTCCTCTTGGTGCCATGACATCTCGCCCTCAGTGTCACCATACAAGGAGGATTCCATGTGCTCCGCGAAGCAGACGAACTCGGAGTGAGCCTCTGCTTGTAGCACCTTCCTGGACTCACCCGAAAGCTTCTGAGGGCAATCTCGGGTAGCATGTCCCTTGCCACATCTGAGGCACGGACCACGAGGAGGCGGGTCGTCTGCCTCCCTAGGCCGATACCCCTGGCCCTTGCCACGGCCCCTGCCCTTGGGGTTGAAGTAACGTCTCCCCAAGCGCACTGCCTTCTGCTTCTCCCGGCCTGTCTGAGGGTCCTTCGGCCCTCCTGGATCTGCGCCCACGCTTCCTGCTCCTCAGCCTGGGCCTCCTGAAAGAGCGCGATGTCGGAGGGGTCCCAGTTCTCAAAGTAGCCCTGGTCCCACTCCATGGGTTCGTCCTGCTCATCCCCGTCCAGGTCCTCAAAGTTGGCCTGAGGTCGATCAGCACCATCTCTTCGGCGAACCTGGCTGTCTGTCCAGTGAGCTCTCAAGGAGTTTTCCACCCCCTGAAGGGAGAAGTGCGACTTGATGTCGGACTGGATGATGCTCTTCTCCAAGTCGTCCAGGCCTGCTTTCTCAAGGAGCAGCCACCCTTGAACGACATCGGGAAGGACATCTCTTCGTCCACATCGTCGCTGGCACTGCCATCCTTCCAGTGTGCTTGCTGCCAACCACCCCAGGCCCAAGCTCCACGCCAAGTCCAGTGAGAGTCTCCCGACTCACTGTTGGCATGGTCTCCCTGGGTCTGGTACCACTGCAACCAAGGGTCTCCGCCCACTCGCTTCTGGAGAGGGACCACCTCGCTGGCGGCTGCCTCTCCAACACTGGAAGGCCCACACTGGTCTGCTGGGCCACCGGCCCTGAGATATCCCTGCCTTGGGTTGCCACACTTTGCCAGCTCGTGCGTCTCGATCTTGCCCGCTTGTCCGGCACATGCGGCTTCTGGTCCTTCACCATCCGGGAAAGGGCTCTGCAGACTCGTTCGTATTCTTCACGGTGCCGGACGCAGAAGCTGGTCATAGTCTCACCCTTGCGCCTGCGAAGATGCTTGAAGTACGGTCCAGGGTGTTTCCCACTTCTGGCAGAATTGGCTCCGAAATAGCTCCTTGCAGATGCTTCAAGAGGCGGTGTACGCCGTCTGGAGTTGACAACCATTGTGCCTTCTTGTTGGCAATTGAGGCCCTCGCTGGACCAGTGAGTTCACTGGCCAGACGAGGCCCGCAAAGGTAGGGTCTCTCACTTGGTTGTTTCCACGTAGAGCAAGGCCGCTCTTCGGTATTCTGTCCAGGAGGCAGGGTCGCCGTTCCATGAAGGAATACTGT